ACTCTTGGTTAGTTTGTCTGTGAAGATTCTCAGTCATCCAGGTTATGGTTATTCTCGTAGTTTAATCTACGTGTTAATGGCTCCTGAAGGATATAAGTATCTGGAACTCCCAACTAGTCAGTTAGAACTGATGAAGCCTTTGGGTGAGAGGTAAAACGTCTTCAAGAAACTCAATAAAGTCCAGTTGCTATGATTAAACTATGAGAATCTTGGCTAGTTTGTTCCCCATTTGGCCAGGGAATCTTGAAATCAAGTCAGGTCACCATTATTTCTATGTTAAACAACAGATGTTAACCCAAACTTAAATGCAGACATAAGAGTCAGATTGACTAATTAAAATATTAAGCCCCAAAATATTCTAGAAAGAAACCCAACGAATCCGTTCCTTTTGAGCTAGCACCTGGGCACAGTGGAGAGGAAGAACCTCATTTTAACAGGAAGTGATCTCCAGCAGAACCAGGCTCAGGGATGTGCGGCTGTCTGCCTCTGCTGGTTGGTGTTAAAGGATTCCTGGATTCCAGAGTAGCATATCATGCTAATGATCATCATCTCTTATGACCTATTGTTGATCTCGGCACTCAGCCCATTTTCAGCTTCTAAACCGCAAGTTCTACGCTCCGTCCAGTTTCGCCCTCATCGCTCTCCGTCTCCTCATCCACCACCACCACCACCACCATCATCGGCTACGGTCCACGGACAGTGAAGAACGTCCTGCAGCAAATGTATCAGTGATTTCTGTACATTTTGCAGCATTTGCCTGAAGGGCTTGTCGCTTTTTTTTTTTTTTTGGTCATAATTTCACCTCCCTTGCCCTTTGTTTTCTTCGTTTTGGCACTCTGCCTTTGTTGCCAATGCACTGTTTAATGAAGGCACTGAACTCAAAGGAGGAGGAGATTGGGCCAGTGCAGTGTCATCTAAGGAAAAATGGGCTGTTTTTTTTAAAAGCCAGTCAGACCAAAGAATATAATAAAATGAAAATGAGACTCTTGTGTCAATCCAAAACAGGAAAATACAGGTCTGCCAGATGGCTTATCCTGCCCAGAAGTCAATACAAAATCCATACTTTACTATATGGACATAGACAACACGTGTGAGTCTATTTGCCGCTTAGCTAAGTTCGGGCATTTGTCTTTAGTTTGTTGGATGAGAGCAACACTGAGAGAGATGGCGATTCGGAGGATTCCCAAACAAAAAGCTTCAGATATGCCCTTAGAAAACAATGTCTCAGATGTTTTATCTATGTTTTGTCTTTCGGTCCGTGATAAACTGGCAGATTTCTGTGAAGCTGTGACGCACCTGTTGAACGTCAATGATGAGAATCCGCGATATGGTCACTGTGCCACCCATGTTTTTAGTTGAAGAGTTGAGATTCAGATTCCTCAGGTTCAAAACCTTGGAAAAATGCCCAGATCTGCTACAGATGAAAGTTAGCCGTGAGCAAATAAAATACCTCCTGCAGCTGCTTCATAGTTAAAACTTGCCAGTGTCAAACTGGTCCATGGAAGGCTCTTATTGTTAAGTAGCTGGACTAAGTGTTAAGCTCTCTTGAGTTTCTTGCATAAAATATGCATGCTGGGCTAATCAGTTTGCTGCAACCAAACATCTCTGTTTAGTCTTAATAAAAATGTTGTAAATCCCCTGAAACATACACGCTGTTTCGAAAAAACAAAATTCCAGACCAGGCATGTGACTTTTAGGATAAAACAAAATTTTCGGGGCTAAGTTTGGATGCAAAGGATTTTCAAACATGTGATTGACCACTGCCGGATTCCATTCCTAATGCTTCATGTGATAGAAATTTGTGACATCTGCATGCAAACAACAACAGCAAATCAGATTTATTCAAGTTTTAATAAGTGAATTATGCATCTGTGACATTGAGTTCAAGTCCTGCCTTTGACATCCTGTAACTCTCTTGCTTCTGTCATCACCCTCAGCTATGATGCGTAAATGCCAAACACACAAGGCTTACAAAGTGGCTCAAGTTCTTGTCGGACCGTGACCGCACTACGGGTGTTTGATTCTGTGTATTGGTGCTGCAAGGCGTGGCATGGGTGTGTGTCGTGGGCCGGCCTTTTCAAGGGTAAAACGTGACTTTCCCCTCTGTTCACAGTGGGAATGTGACATTGACAAAGTGTGCTGCTGCCTACCTCCAACCAGCTCATAAGGGAGCACATGCTAGTAAGTGCCAACTGGTGGCTGGCCCTGTATTAGTGAGTGTGTGTTAGTGTGTGTGTGCGTTTCCAGCGGGCTCTGGCCAAAAGGTTTGTTTGGGCAAGTGTTGGCAGGACTGGTCACTCTTCATTCCCAGCCCTTGAGCCAGCATTATACAGTTCCCACGCATGTTACAGCCAGTAGCAACCCCCTTACACACACACAGACACACACAGCCCATGCATACATACACACAATCTATAACGCTCACACTAAACACTGGTGCCGTGTGTAAACACAGAGTCCTGTTGACACTAAAATACAGCTTTGCACATTACCCACCCTGAGTCAAGCTGTTTGCTGGCTGGTAAAATATTAGCTTTGGATTGGCGACTGTCATAAGTTTAAAGGACAGACATTGTCCGACGTGTATTTGTGTGTGTGAAGGAGGTTCAGAGTAATCCCAAGGATCTGAAGTAATGAGTATACAAGCAAGTACATTTGTGTTTGCATGTGTTTGTGTTTGTGTTTGTGATGTGGCCAGACGGTACTCATTATATGGTCACAGTGTATAGACAGATTTATCAAGCCAATCACTGTAGTTTGACTGAATCCCTACAGTTTGGGCTGTAATGTACGTCTTTTTTTGTAAACTTTTTTGTTCTGCATATCCAGCGTTAACCAGGGGTTAACTTTCTGATTATCCCCGTTTATTTAGTCAACGAGACAGGTTAGACTGTTTGTCCTACTGGACAGCCATCAGTCTGGCAGAGAGTTACTGAGCCAACCTGCCAGTTATGCAGGCTCCCTGTGGAACGGGTAACCCTAGACAGGGGTAGCCCCAGAAGGGAGAGTGGGGGAGTTGGCCTGGACGGGGGCCAGGATGTGTGGAGTGCATAGAGAGGTGAGCCAACACCTCAGTGTAGTCCTGAGCAGCTGTCTGTCCACAGAGCAAATATGCAGTTACCAAAGTCATACAAGCTGCAGCTACCACTGTGCTTGTGGCACCACTGTTGCAGCTACCTCCTGTTCAGGGATACTAGTTGGCACCACATAATGCTGCAGACAAGCATTTTGCTGCAATCTCCTTACATATTTTGGCAACTTATTCCCTTTCCCAAGGTCAAGAGGAACAGCCTTATTCAAATGTTATTTTAAAAAATCTAATATTAGATACTTTAAGTTAGAACTGTGGCCCCACAAATCTTAAGAATTGTTTTTGTTTTATTTGTTATTGATGCCCTAAAACCACATTTGCAACCCACATATGAAAAGAGTTTTGATGCACTACTGGAGCCTTCTGACGCATGATGAGCCACTATAAACCATTGACTTGAGTGGTGTATCATTAGAAAGTTGTGCAATAATATAGATTTGACTACAATGGCAGGGGTTGGTACTAAATTATACTTCAGGAAATTGTCACGAGGCTGGACATCCTTGCCTCTGCGCTTGAACAATAATGTCCATAACCCACAATGCAGATGTGGTGACAACTGTATTTTCATTGCACAAGAATGGCATGGAAAAATGATCCCCCATTGTTAGGAAATCACAGCTGCCTGGACTCCTCCTAGTACTTTAAGGAGCATTCCCTGATAAGAAACTTTTGGGTGATAGTCTTGTCGTGTGTACTCAGTAATGACGTTGTCCTCTTACTGTCTGTCCTTTTATATCTATCCGCTTATCAAAGTCCACCACTTGATTGCAAACTTGTGTTTTTCGGATCATGGAAGTCACATACAGTAAATAATATGATTTGTTTTGGGATACTAAGTAGTCTTAAGTGATTTGTAATGTTATTTGCTCATCATGCTCCCTCTGTTTTTTATCTATAATTGAGCAAGTTCTTCGTTTGTTTCATGTGTTTCCTTGGTAAAAATCTAAATCAAATGTCCAAATCTCAATTTAGATCAGCTTTTATTAAATCAGCCCTTAGCAGATGGCCGTTAAACTTGTTGGAGACCATACTTCCTGTAGCTGCTGTTTAGGAGACATGTTCTTATGGTGCAGCTGCTAGAAGATACGAGTTTCCATTGAGAATGGAAAAGTACACTTAATAATTGTATCAAATTATTTTAATTATTAAAGTGATTGAAAAACATGTATCATACACGCTCCTGAGAAATGGACTTGTTACGGATTGGTGGGTCACATATGCCCTGGTCGTTCCGCAAGGAGTCAATTCAAATATACATTCAAATGAATTCAAATGACATTCACCTGCTGACATCATTTGAGGGAAGTGTTTTTTTCAATATATACTTTATAACCTTTCTGCAACTGTGCCTTAAGGCAGACCTTTAAAGGGAAGTAAAAATATCACAGAAAACTTCTTGGGTGGGGGCAGATCTATTTGGATGAGACTCAAAATATTTTCTATTTATGGGAAACACTGTGCGTGTTTGTATGTGTGTACTTCTGTGTGTGTGTGTTTGTCCACATTGCACATGTGCTTCTCACATGACTGATAGCAGTGCCATATCAGGCCGATGATATGGAGCTGGAACATGTTTATCAGTGTAACAGCAGTGCACGCACACACACACACACACACACACATGCAAACACACACTCACTGCTGATTAGAACCAACAGTAGCAGCATTACGCCACCATCCACTCATCAAGGTCTACGTATATGTTAACATGTATAAATAATGGCCGTATTTTTGTGTTTTTCAAATGTGTGTTTGGGGTAGATGGGATTGTTATGCCGCCCACATCAATTTTGGGCTTACCAACCAGTGGCAGGAACTCATTATGTTGCGGTAATAATATAATTGCGGCATTATATTGGTGTAAACCGTAAACAGTTGATGATGATGATTCTTTCTGTTTGTTCAGAGACGAGGGGCCATCTCCTACGACAGCTCCGACCAGACAGCATTGTACATTCGCATGCTAGGTAAGTGTTTCCCCGTTCTTTATGCATATACACATGCATTTTCATTAGCCACACATACACATGCTTTACAGACATCAGGAGCTTTATCTCCTCTGTGATCATGTCCATTTCTTAATATACAATGGCTTTAAAAGCAGTGAGATGGGAAATGGATGGATCAGAAATGGAGGGATGTAGAGATTATGAAGAGATGGGGGCGCACTAAAGTGCACGTCCAGAATCCACTCAATCCCTGGCCTTTTTTCTAATCTCTCAATCACAATAGGTTCAGATTGTGTGCATCTGTAGTGTTGAGTGTCTTTGAAGTTCTGATCAGATTTGCTACGAGCACTGGATTTCATTTGAACCCTAAACAGGCTAAAGGTTCTTTGGCAGAGTCTATTGTTGTGTTTATGTACATGTGTCTGCGTGTATATGCTGCATGTGTGTGTATCCATTCGCCCTCGCTGACCCCAAACAGGATAAGCAGTTTAGAAAATGGATGTAAGGATGGAGCGATCATAGCTCTGCCAGGCAGATGGCATCAAATGCATCGAGGAAGCAGCCAGATCAGGCGAGGCTTACTAATCAATAAGGTTATTGGGGATAATGGTGCGATTAGAGCCGGGTTGTACGCCTGAGGTCTGTCTATTAAACATGGATGCGCCATCACATGCAGCTTTGTCATAATTCTTGTGGTTTTGGCTGGGAGGTATCAGCAAGAAAGAAAACAAAGCAGAGTTGCTCACAATGTTATTCTCTCGTTTTTCAGAATCAAATTGAAACAGTGAGTAGGGAGAGCGCATTAGGCAGGAGGCGCAGTTTAGGGCTTATTGAATGACTTTGTCGACTCGTTTGACTTGTTTTTTTATTCTCGGTTTAACGTAATATTGCGATACTTTCTTTCCTATTTGGTCCTGAGTCAGCTGCTGCCACGTGTGTCTAGTCACAGCAACAGCATTTTATGGAGCTGACTGAAGGAGCTTTAGCTTTTTAATCATTTTACTTGGCTAAGTATGATGGCAGCCTCATACGTCACTGGCATAAAGCATCTGTCTCTGTAGATTTTATATTAAATTGAGTGTGAGGAGAGGCACACTAATGCAGACTGGTGTTTGCCTGGGCCAGGGTTCAGACTGCCAAGTTAATGCTGATGTGCTTTCAAATAGCAGGACTCGGAGCTTTCGCCACATCAGTTATAATGACATGACCTATATCCACCCCAGAGCGCTGGCACTAATGCACCGTAGGGGAAACATGGACCCTGTGACACTCAAAACACACTAATCACACAAGCACACACACGTGCTGAGCCCTAACACATGCATCTCCAGATGTGACAGATGTGTTTTATACATGTGGGCACACACTCGCAGCTTAAGGAGTGCATGGATTATCGTGGGGTTTTTTTATTTTTGTGGTCATAATTTGTGTTTTGCACGTGAAATGCCACTGATATAGTTTCACTCTCCACATTCATGTCAAAAACAGCCTCTCAAATGACTGTTTAGCATCATTCTGCCTGAATAGTAATTCATAGTTTTTGGTATTTTGATAGGAGCTTGTGTAGTATTCAAACAGCTGTTTGCAAGTAAGTAACATGCTGGTTGTGGGAGCACACCTGTGTGACTGCTTTTTGATCCTGATGCACACATGACACAGTCTGAAGTGCCATGCTGGAAACATACCATTGCACTGTTTAGCACCTTGATCAGTCTACTGCCATATATAGTCTTGCCGTATATAGAGCGTTGCCTGGAACGACACACTAGCATTTTACTGCATCAGTGTCACAGCACCATCCTGTCACCTCACTATGCTCTCACTGCTCCTGACTGCAGTCTTCAAGCAGGCCGGCCGCCGTCTGTTGGGTCAGAGTCTGGAGCCTGTCCCTGTTCCTCTGCCTGACTACTAAAAACAGACATAGATGGACTATAGATCACTCTCAGTGGCTCTGAGTACTAATAGTAGACCAGACTGTCCTGACATGGCATTGCATGCTCAGCTGTTTGATTGACTTGTCTGTCCGTTGAATTTCCTCTTCTGGGACATGGGAGTGTGTGTTTGTGTGTGACTGTGCCCGCACATGGATAAGTACACAGCAGGCCTGGGTCAAATAGTGTTTTCAAAATCACATCTTTTGCTTGTTTTAGTTTTGCTGGGACTACCAAAGTGATGGGTTTTACCACAATAGGAAGGTTATGCCCTGCTTCACTGTCAATTCTTAGTATAAGATGGATTATTTCCTAATGGTTATGAAAAGCTGAGACGTAATGGAGGGGTTTCTGTCAATATTCCAAGCTACAGAGACTGTATATCTCCTACAGTGTTGACTGGAAAAAACTTTCATCATTTTAATAATGATCAAAGACTGATTATTTTGTTTTAAGCATACAATGACTATAGCTAGAATGAGGCATCAGCAGCATCCGTTTTCATTCTAAAACTCAAGATCTGTTGCCGTTGAAGTCTAACAAAATAAAAGATTAAATAAATCAAATAATATTTTTTTTCATTGTTTTGTCTTAAAATGAGAAATTGCTTAAACTTTACCAAGCTGTACAGTTGTAAGTATTTATTCAGATGGCACTTTTCAAAACCAAAGTTATAAAGCGTTTAACACTAAACATTAAACAGATCAGAAAGCAGCACACGGATAAGCAACGGAACGTCATTTTACAACCCAAAACGTCAGCAAAAATAGCAATTAGTGAGTCGTACATTCTCACTCTGTCTTTGAATGTTGTCAGAAAACCAAAATAAGTTTCAGCTTTTTTTTTTTTTTTTTAGAAGGACGGAAGAAAGAAACTGTGTTTTTTTTTTTTTTTTTTTAGAAGGACGGAAGAAAGAAACTGTGTGTGATAGAAAATATAATGTATGACTAAGTCCACACGTACACAGGTATTTTTAAAAACAGGAATTGTATTTATTTATTTTTTGTTTGTTTTTTTGCGCTTCAAAAAAAAAAAATCAATCCACACAAAACCACAATTGAAGTGCTGTCAAGAGCATGCCAACAGGTGATGATTTAAATGTATCCCTTAAATCACGTGAAGTAACAGTATACGCTCTGATATCGAAGGCTAAAAACTTTGCTTCTCACTGTTTACACGTCAACATTGCAAGTTGAAGGACTTTTCTCACAGCCCAGTTTTTCAGTGACCTAACATTGCAAGTCCGCAAAAAGGCCAAAACGCACAGAAAAGGCTACAGAAAGAATACCTATGTACGCATGGACGGGGTTTTAAAGGGTTGGGGCTGAATTCCAGCTGTGTTGGCCATTTAAAATTCATCTGTATTTGTCTCATTGCAGTCCTCTGTTTATCATGTGGTAAAGCCCATCCTCATGGCACTTAAGCAAGAAAAAAAAATTCCACTATATACTGAAAATATTTCCAAATACTGCTTGGCTGAACACATTCAGACACCTTTCTTTTCACACAGTATGAATCTTGAGGAAATAAGTGCTGATTTCTTCTAGGAGATGTGAGAGTGAGAAGTCAGGTTGGATTTGAACCGGAACGAAGAAGCTCCCACCCATACCTGTGCATTGACTTCCGAACTCTTCACAGTGAGTATGAATCACAGCCCAATTACCTTGACTCGCCAGCCTCTCTGATAACAAGAGGCATTATCAAACCGTAGCTCCACACAGTTTGTCCGTCTCCAGCAAGACTGACAGATGTTTGTGTGCTGCTTTAATACGATACTGCACTCCATGACAAAGACTCAGGTGTGTCTTAGTTTACACCTTGTCCGAGGCTTTTTTATCAAACCTTTGTGTGTAGGTGTGTGATAAAGTACCCACTTTCATACTCCACGAAAGCTTTTTAGAAAACATCAAAGAGTTACAAAGAAGTAACGTGAGTGTGTGTTGACATTATGACCCAAAAGTAATCCTACCTCATGCTGACGTGTTTCCGGATGGCAGCCACAGTTTGTTCAGACAGTGTGCCTTTGTGTGAGGGTGTGTGTGTGTGTGAGAGAGAGAGAGACCACTGACAAAGCATGTCTGCTGTGTGATCCCAGACGAAAGGCTTATGAGTGGGCGGCTGTGTCAGCAGCGACTGTTTGTATATCGCTGTGTTGGTGTCAGATCCCCACCGAGCTTGTCCGGGCCAAATGATTCTCCGAGCCTAATGAGCTTTTGAAATAAACACATCCTAAAAAAAAAAATTGTTGTCTGTTTCACGTGTTGCATCTTTTGTAAAATATTTCTGTGCGTCTGTGTGTGCAGCACGGCTGGGCTGTGGGTCCGCGTCGGCCGCCTCTGGTCCTGAGAGGAGGGTCCACAGACTGCTCAGCTTCCAGAGATACCTGCACTCATCCCGCCTGCTGCGGGGAGTCCCCCAGCAGATCCCCCTCCACATCCTTGATGAAGATTACACTGGACAGGCTAGAGTACGCCTCCTATCTTTTATAGAAAGACACCTCCTAATAAGACTTCCACCATTTTTTTCCAGATTCCACGTCTCTAACTTTGTGCTTCTCTTTTCCATCTCTTACAGTGCATGCTGGAAAAAGTCGGGAACTGGAATTTTGACATTTTCCGCTTTGATAGGTTGACAAACGGTAGGTAGCATATGACCTGAAACCCTGATGAGAAGTTCATTTAAATGTCATGATATTAAAAGTTTATGCACCGACTGGAGAATCCAGCATCACCTCTGCTTTGGATTCAAAGTGTTACCACTAGTGCCATCTATTGGATGGTGGACACAGTGTGGAGATTAACTCTGTCACTGAATAACTACATCTGACTTTGGGAAGGACATCATCATCACATGCAGTTTAGAGCAAATAATTCCAAAGCAACAGCTCATAAAAGAGGAGGAGTTTGTGCTGTGTTTGTGGAATTGCATCAATCAGGATGGTACTGTCTCTAAACTCTCTAAATGTATTTTTTCGCTTTGGAGGTCCTCATATTTATCTAATAAGCTGCAGTGTTAGCCACTAATACAAAACTTAGACAAAATACTAATGCTTTTCCACAACACTCTCACAAGACGGAATTACAAATGGAAGCAGCTGACGATCAAAATAGCTGAGATAGCAGCTGAGAAGATAACAAATATGGAAACGATTACGCAGTAGCTTGATTTAGTTTGAACACTGGCAAGGCTAAAGGTGTGTTTTTGTTCTCAAAGCTAATGTACAGCCTCTTATTACTGACAATCTCCTGAAAGGTGTAAAGACTGATGTGGTTACTGGATTTAATCTCTTGCATAGTAACTCAACCAACTCGACTCAATTTAGAATATGTGGTAAAAAATTGCGAAAACTTGGCAAATTTTCTTTCTTTCGTGGAAAGAGATATTTCTGCATGCTGTGATGGGATTAGGCTGGAGAAATGGTCATGAAACCACTAGAGCCCTTGTATAAACAAGCCAAGTCAGCAGAATCCTGGTAGAACATCATTTTCTGAGCCTTGAGAATTATCAATTATTTTTCCATGTATACAGTTTTAAATGACTTGGACCTTTCATTATTATGTGTTTACTTTTTTTTCAGAGAACTCTGTAAAATTATCAAGAAAATCTCCCAATTTGAGATTTCAAGGCGATACATTTTGGGCAAAGCCATAACTCAGTGGAACGCGATACCAGACGACATAAAGAGTTTTACAGTAGCTCCTCCGGTAGTTACAAGCTGAATTGCTGCGGTTGAGTTTAACAAGAACAATAAACATGACGTTTTGGAGACAGACCAGAGTCTAAAGTAATGGCTTCTTTTATCACGTTCTACATTTTGAACCATCAATTAACAGTCCTAAAGAGAGACTTACAATCTCCCTGACTTGACCATGAAAAGCGAGAATCCAAAATCACAGTGTTTTAGGAAGAAATACTATGAAAAGCCACATTTAAAATCAAACAGAGGAAGAGGTGACGTGGAGGCAGATTCAGAGAACGTGGAAGCACCAATAAAATACATTGAGATGGAAAATAAGTTCTACAATGCAAAGAGCTTCACAGATTGATGCATTTAACCCTTTATTTAATAGAACGCTAACTGTTGTTCGTCCTCTTGCTCAGGAAACAGCCTGATCACCCTGACCTTCCACCTGCTGAACCAGTATGGCCTGGTGGAGCTCTTCCAGCTGGACATGGTCAAGCTGTGGAGGTTTTTGGTCATGGTTCAGGAAGACTACCACAGCGACAACCCATACCACAATGCTGTCCATGCTGCAGATGTCACACAGGCCATGTACTGCTACCTGCGGGAACCCATGGTGAGATATGCAGACAAGACATTTTGGTTGTTTTCGGTATCTAAATCTAAACTCATGCTCTTGTAGACAGAGTCAGAATGTGATTACAGTGTTTAAAAAAAACTTGTTTTATCTTAATGTTAAAGTAAAAATGCTTAAAGTCCTCACAATCTTTGTCTTGTTGTGAATGCAGCTTGCAAAGTCTCTGACCTCCTACGACATCCTACTGGGTCTCCTCGCAGCTGCCACACATGACCTGGGCCATCCTGGGGTCAACCAGCCTTTCCTCATCAAGACTGACCACTATCTAGCCACACTCTATAGAGTAAGACAACAACTGTTCTATAACCTGCCAATTAAAACACTGCAGTGGAAGACAGCATCACGTAGCGCGTTAAATTAATTTGTGTCCGTGCACGGTTTCTCACACAGAATACCTCAGTTCTGGAAAACCACCACTGGAAGTCGGCTGTGGGCCTGCTCAGAGAGACTGGGCTGTTTTCCCATTTGCCTGCTGAGGACAGGTCAGTCTGACACTGAAATGTTGTTTAGAGCAGCCAGAAGAGTCAAACATCGTGCTACATGGCACACAATAGAAGGTTACACAGAAACTGAGCTCATTTAGGAGGCTTCTCTGTTGAGTTTTAAAGACAAACTGCCAACAGAAGCCACAGTCTGTGCTTAAACTGATCATTTTGTTAAATAAATGCAATTTCTGACACCTCAGCCTGAACATGGAGAGGGAATTGGGCTCCTTAATCCTGGCCACGGACATCAGCAGACAGAATGAGTACCTGTCCAGGTTTCGCATGCACCTGGATCAGGACAACCTGTGCTTGAGCAACGCCAGCCACCGTCACTTCATCCTGCAGGTCGGTTGCCTCCTCTGCTGTTAAAAACACAGCCTCTCAGAAAAACACCGGGTTCTTATTTTGTTTTTATTCCCACTTTGTACAGATGGCTCTGAAGTGTGCAGACATCTGTAACCCCTGCAGACCCTGGGAGCAGAGCAAACAGTGGAGTGAGAAAGTGACGGAGGAGTTCTTCCAACAAGGTTATCTGTCTGCTGCTTGCTCTTATGTTGTTCATCATCTTTTTTGTTATTGTGTTATGCTTTTTTTTTCTCCTTCATTTGTTCTTTCTGTAATTATTCTGTACATTATATTTTATTAGGAGACATTGAGAAGAAGCACAAACTTGAAGTCAGCCCACTTTGTGACAGAGAGATGAACACAGTTGGCAACATTCAAATAGGCAAGTATGGTAGCGAGGTTGTGCATTTTTACTTGCACATAATCTGCAGCTTGTATCTAATACTAAACCTGCGTCTGCCAACTTTTCTCCCCCTTTCAGGCTTTATGACGTATGTGGCGGAGCCGCTGTTCGCAGAGTGGGCCCGTTTCTCGGACACGCGCCTGTCCCAGACTATGCTGGGCCACATGGGGCTGAACAAGGCCAGCTGGGGCGGCCTGCAGCAGGAACAAACCCCCGTCTCTGAGGAGGCCGAGGCCAGCATAGCCAGCGCAGGAGACGCCGCCGCTGCGCGAAGAGACGCTAACACAGCTACAGTCGCAGGAGGAACCAGCTCCAAAGAAATACCTCAGGGAAGCAGAGAATCCTGACACTCCTTGTGTGCCCTTTCACCTCAACCTCCCGACCCCTGACCCCCGGCCTCAGGGCCTCACCACACACTGAGGGCCGGGTGGGGCATCCGACGGCCCGCAGCCCTGCCGCTGCCCCACCTGATCCCAACACCTTTTTATGTGTTTTGTTGCTTTGGCCTCCCATCTTGATAAACCACTGATTTTATTTAATTTATTTAATTTTTAATTCCACTTTTTTTTTTTTTTTTTTTGGCATAGAGCAATACATAGATACCTCATTTGGCTACTGCTGTATTTTCTTTTATTTGCTTTGTTTTATTTATTTGTCCACTGAAGTTTTGGCATTACTGACTGAATGCACCACTTTTCTTTTTTTTCTTTTTTTTTCTTTGGTCGGTGAACCTTAAGGGGAAAGCAGTATATGAAATGATAAAGACATTTTTTTCTGGTATTTTGAAGTGCCATTTGAAAACAAAGATTTGAAGAATGATCTGAACTGAATCGACTGAGACAACTGGAGTATTCAGACGTGAGACCCTCCTGAGACTTTAAAGTAACGCCATGTTGCATTTGTATTGAAGATTCTTCCTCATGTAAAAACAACAACAAAAAAAAAAAATGTGACAAGCCCAGTCCTTTTGCTGCCTCTACGAAGACTGTTTACGCATCTCCTTGTTTGTTGTATCTTTCCCTTGAACTGAAGTGAATCATGTCGGCTCCACGGTTTGCCTTCGAAGCACAGATGAGAAGAACCACTCGTTTGAACTGTCATCCCACTGTTGAAGCCATGAGCAGAACCTTATTCAAACACACCAGAATGCCATAAACGACTCCACCTGTGCTACCACGTGTTCTTGCACTCCCCAAAAACAACGATGCTGTCGGACGTGCAGCTGTTTGTCTCCACGACCTCTCCCAAGACATCCCGCGAAGGTATTATAGGAATTAGTCATTTTCCGATGATGTTTCCACATCGTCCAGTCCTGGTTGAACTCGGGGAGCTTCCCCTGCCACACTGGAGGCTGCTCAAGTCACTGCACATGCATCTCACCTGGAACTCCACTCCACGCAACTCGACTCGCTCAGGGTTTTGCCAGTCTCTTTTCAGAGGGAGAGGGGGGAGGAGGTGACCGCGGACAATGCAAGGTTGTATTTTCTTTTTGTCGGCTAGGATCTACTGAAGGAGGCTCCCTCTCCGCAGAATGTCTCTCACAGCCACATGAAACCTAAAGGACTGCTCAAATGATGCCTTATAACTATGCACAAACTATGCTAAGTGACCAAACCAACTCCTTTTTTCCCATCAAGTGCATGGTGTGCTTGTCTTTGAATGCACTGTCCGATCCCTTTGCCTTTTTGTTGTGAGGAACAACTCCAGCTGTCCTTTTTTTTTCTTTTCTTTTTGTATGGAAACAAAATGGTCGAGTGAATTTGAACATTCCATTTCTTTGTGTTTGGTTTGTCTACTTCGATTCTGTACAGTGGCACAAATTGTGTTTGTGTTTAAACATTTTGAAAGATAACAGGTGCTTTTCTTACTTTAGCTGATTTGTATTTTGCTGTAAGTGCTGTAAGACTGTTGATAAAACTGTTTACAATTTGTTGCGACAGCCATTTTTGGGAAGACTTCAGTGTCGAGCCACATTTTGTAAAGGCTTTGCTGTATTGACCTTTTTGATACATGCTTGTTGCAGTTAAAATTTGAATAATAAAACCTGTTGTTGATAAATGTTTGTCAATGCCAAGTATGCAGTTTAAATGATGGAAACTGTGGGCAGCTGCTTTCTATACAGCTGTTGTTAAAGTGGGATCTTTGTGCAAAATTCCATGATTACTTTTCAGCATATATTAATTAAAATGGTCTGAGAGGAAACTAGACTTCTGCACCTCCTCCTAGCTGGTTTGAAGCTTTAGTAACGCGTGAAGGGAGACTTTAACCAATCACGGGTCTTTTCAGAGGGAGAGCGTTGTTCCTGTTGGCTGTTCTGCAAGTACAAATGCACCTGATGGTAGAAAGCCTGACTCGATGGTGGGGAATCCTGCAAGAGTCAAGGAAAATGGAATAATTTGAAAAACTTCCCAAATTTCAGGAGTTTTTTTTACACTCATTTGAGGTGGTTTTTGTTTTTTTTAAAAAGAGCTAATGCGCTTAATGGAAGATTGAAATTTGTTTTTCGAATACTTTCTCACACAACAAACATTTAACTCCCACCATGGATCAGCTGTTGCCACTTCTTTCATATCTTGGAATGAAATGGCCAATACCAGCTGAAATCAAAGAATTATTACAACACTCCAAATTGAAAACAATTCTCCCAAACTTTTTCTTTTTCTGTAGTAAATGGACAATTAGTTTCTTATTCTTTTAGCAGTTTCCAGCTTCTTCTACCATATTACTTCCTTTACTGCCCTTTCAACTACGCTCTAAAGCAGTCAGTGGAAACGAGGCTAAATCGTATTTTCTTGTAATTTTGTGCAACATTTTAAATTCCCTTGACAATTATAAGGAAACATCAGCAACAAGCCATTTATTGAATTGCAGTTACATCAGATAACTAGTACACTGAGCTTGCCGTTCTTCTCCTGTGATATCTAAATGTTTTGTACAGGTATTTATTTATGCAGTGGCTAAGGTGAATGTTACCAACAGTTTAGCCTTCTGGTAACTTGAATCAAAGGCTCACTCTTGCAGCTGTGGCTAATTCAGTTTCATGTTTGTGATCGAGCTTGTGTTGCCATACGCCTGTTCTCGTCTGATGGAAGAGGCTGCAGGAAGAGGGCTCTATTTTTTTAGATCTCTGCTTACCCCAGTTTTAATATCTCCTTTATCTCTGTAGGAATTTTTCCTTTATCTTTGATTTCAGTAATGATTAACCGGAAGACAATAGAAATATGAAGACACATTGTTTAGTCTATAAAATGTCAAAACACTGTAAAATCCTTGAGTCTTCAGATTCCAAGTTGACTTTTTAAAATGTCTTGTTTCATCTTACCAACCTGGACATATTCAAACATATAAGCACTCACTGCTATAAATCTAAATGCAATCATTCCAGAAACACACAAAGTCATGAGAAAACTTTTATTTAGAGATTTGACCATTTTAAGTTAATCGTCATTTAAAAGAACTCTCCTACAAAATCTTAAACTGTAAATTTAAGTCACCTACTACTGACACACCCAGTCCACCTTCCCTTATAAAAGGTAATTGAGTTGACTTGAAGCAGCAACTACAATGACATGAACCGTGATCAGAAATGGCAACGACGTGCAATCGATAACTCTGAACAAAATACTCCCTAAAACCTGACACAGAGGAGTCAGCAAGTGTCACATTTCCTCACCGAGGCACAAAAATGTGATGATTACTGGCCTGAAAGCATAATTTATACCTTTGGGATACTGATGACTGTGGGTACCTTAGGACCCATGACGCCATCAATACAGACTGTAACTACAACAATGCAGCACTTCTTTACTGAATTGTGTTATAAAAGGCAGCTCTTACCAGCAGAGGTAGGTACTAATAAAGCAACGAAACACTGCATTTGTGCCTGTACCGTTAGTTATCTGGGACTGTGAATGTTTTAAAAGAATCTCAATATTTAAGCATAATTTTAATTGGGAATGTTTTTCAAAATAAAGGTTAAAGGACATGTAAAATTTGGCAGAATTTTGAAGGTATCAGTGGAATGTCTTTGGCTCTTAAAGATGAATCATTCAGAGAAGTAATATAAACTAAAAATTATCCTATGCATATATTTGAACCATACAGGCCATGGCAAGACTGGGATGCAACTTCCACAGGCTCAGCAGATAAAATCTTTTCAAACGTCACTGAAACTAGACTGAAAACAACTGGTATTATTAACAAACATGTCTAGGACATAATTAACTGTTAAAACTAAATTATACACTTTAACCACAACATAAATAGACAGGTCCCAATCATAAATTAGTCTACACGTATATAAAAATTACAGCACAACACTCCACATGTCAGAAAGTGCCCCTTTCTCCTGCGGTAGAAGAAATCTTCAGCTTTTACACACCCTGAAAAATGGGAATGCACGACTGATCGACTATGCTATGTGCAACCAGTTTAACGAAAACCTAGTGATTGAATAACAAAACTAATAGCATTTTATTATTCTGTAGTGTTGCTCAGGCATGTTCACACCAGACTGTGAGGAATTCTGACTCTTGAACACGAAAAAAAAAAAGACATTCAGTTAAACAAATAAACAAACAAACGAAAAATTCTTGTTTGTAAAAGAGAAAGCTAATATAAGTTATAAAAGTGCAAAAAACAGATGGTCAGGATGATGACCACGAGCAACACTATGAGATGACTGATACTTGGCACAGGCAGTCTAACTCCCTTATCTAAATCCCTTGTCCTTCCACAGAAACAGCTGGTATTGAAAGGTCAATAAGGCACTTTAAAGAGTCCGCAGAACATCTAGACCTCGAGATGAGATCCACCTGTTCAGAGCAGCTTTCTTTTTCCAGTTGCCTTCAACATGTGCTGGCCAAACTGTGAAAACAGGAAAAGAACACTGAATAATTTCCATAATAACACTGCAAACCACTTTGGCAAGATTCACACGAGGCACATGACATCTGCTTGATTAGATGATAAAAGAAAGAGAGAGACAAAGAAATTCCACCTTAAAACATCATATATGTTAGTATCTGAATTAACATTGATGAACACAGTGTTTAGAGTATTTTAACAACCATTTATGTAGTCTGTGGCTTTGTTTTGATACTACAATGATTTCTTCTAAATCTTCTTCTAAAAAAACTCCTTCGAGCCGTAAATCAGAAACATCAATAACATCGCAGCATCTCTCACCAGAGGGGTTTCAGTTTGAGGTTTTACTTCTGGGACAGGAAGTTTGAAATCTTCGTTGTCATCTTGTTCGCTGTTGTTCCGATAGCGATGCGCGAACTTGCGTTTCAGGGCTTCAGCGATAAGAGCTGCAGCATCTGCCGGCTCCTTGGGCTTCACTTTGGCATCATCTTCCGCTGGACGACTGTAAAAACATCAAGGTAACAAAGACGTTTACAAATTTTAATCATGCAAGATTACTTTGTATGACACATAGATGTCTCACTATCGATGGCAGCAGCTCAAGAAAACACAAGACTACAGTGTCTAGTTGATGATGTGAAGTTAAATTAAGAAGCAGAGCCAATGCACAGCGTAAAAGGAGATGAATGACGATGCACTGATCTTGGTAGTTTGTCCTGAGAAAAAAGGTGTCAGGTTTAGTTGAATTTGTGTTTATGTCTAGCTATAACATTGCACTTACTTACAGTAATATAATTAAACAAGATCAAATAGACTTTTGATGGACTTCAAAAACACTTCTATGGTCACCATTCGTCACTTCCACATAAATCTTAATGTGCAGCTCATTCACGTCTGAAGTTGAGGCCTACCTTTTGACTGATCGCAACTTGACTTTGCTCATGTCCTTCAGGACATCGAGCATGTTGGGTATTTCGGCTGGCTTTGGATCCAAAACTGTCTGGCTGTCTGTCTTCTTCCCTCTGCGCTCTTTAATCAAATCAATGGCTGAAAATGTCCGCTGTAGATTTGGGGGTGGTGGTGGAGGAGGAGGAGGTGGAGGAGGAGGAGGAGGGGGAGCAGCAGGAGATGTCCCTGTGGTAGCAGCTGTTGTGAAACAAAGGAAAAAACTTACAAGCTGCACAATGTGAAATTCTGCTGCCATCTAGAGGTAAAGTAGTTGCATTGCTTGGCACAAAAAGTGGGAAACAAATCATTCAGAACAGTCATAACACTGTGCAAGATAAACTATTTGTTAAGACATACCTGGCTGTGCGTTCTTTTCCTGAGCCAGTACAATCTGTGCAATCTGAGCTCTGAGTTTTGCAAGTTCAGACTCCAGTGCACTGATCTTCTGAATGGCCTCATCATTTGCAACGGTTGGCCCCTGGGGGTCCGGAGCTCCCTGATGTAGGCTGGGTAGCGACCGCCGGCGGGTTGGGGCTTTTCTCTGAGGATGAGGCTGCTGGGCTCGAAACGCAAATCCTTGTGGGATCCTTGACCTGTTTCAATACCGCAAATTATGAACAATCAGAGTATGCCCGTTTTTTAAAATTTTTTTTTAGACATTACTCACAAGAACATATCAATTCCTAACACTGCAGTTGTGTACGACACGGAACAAGTAACGCATGTAGATTCACAGAGCTGCCGAGGCAACCCTATGCTTTCCTCACAGACAACAAAACTGGTTACACCAGACTTGAGAGCAGCATGCAAGAGGTGCATATGCTCCAATGAGATCTGCTCTGCAAACATAAAACAGACCAGTCTTCCACTTGTGCATGGCCTTTAACACTAAATGGGTTATAAAGTGTCTATATTTTTATTAACTGAACTGCAGGAAATTAAAACTTTTTGTCAAACTGCGCTTCCATTTTGGGGTTTTGATGATCCCTCTGGTATTTGTTTTGCCAGTATCAGCTGGCGGTTGCTTAGTAACTTTATCCCTTAAATAGTCCACTGCACTGTGTAGATGTTAACTTATCCACATTACACAAACTCAAGAAGACTCAAGAATCCCAAAACAAAAGCTCACCGCCTTGTTTTGCCCATGATTCACATAAATCTACACTGTACATGCCCTCCATGTACAGCCTGTAAAAAGATACATTCTGCAGCATGTCTACTCCACAAACAGTTCACATGCGTTACATGCTCAACGTTATCAGAGCGCTGCATATCATTACACTGCTCTCACCTGGGTCTGTCAAAGTAATCTTCGTCATCATCGTCATCATCCCTGTCAATCCAGGCGATATCAGCCAGAGAGGCCACCAGGCCGTTCTGCTTCTTGGTGCCAATCAGGACACCAGCATCCTCAGTGTATGGATAAAGCTACCAGAGACGGAAAAAAAGCCAGGTTCAACATTTAGAGAAAAAGTTCAGGGAAAAACATGCCAGAAGAGAACACGCACACCAGCACACGTCACAACACTGCATTTCAAACGACTAACAAACGGAAGTCATTAAGTAAAAATCCAGGCAGTTCAGAGAGCAGGTGTGAAGGGGGTCAGCACAGTGTTAATGAAAGGTTCAGGTATCTCAAGAGGTTTTTAATCAGCTCAAGGTTGTTGAAGGTTGCTGAATAAACTGACCTAAAGCAGACATACTGCATTCCTCATAGTTAGGGGAGGGTAGCTGGAAACAGAAGAAAAGAAGAGAAAAGAGAGCACAGCGTTGAAGGTGACAGAACAGTAAAGAAAAGCAAGTCAACTTTTAAAATGACATGCCACTGAAGTGAAATATCTCAAAGGCTGAGTTGAAAGTCAGTGTTCTGATAAAAGGAAATATGTCTGTTGTAATAGCTTCATTCACACTGTTTATGGTTCATAAATGTAAACAGTGAGCCAAGCAGGGAGTAAACAGGAGAAGAGGGTGTGATTTGTTCACACGGCTGCAGCTCCAGCAGTCACGAGAGATAAAGACGGAAAGACAGATGAGGGCTAAATCATACGTGACATGTTCAACGCACTTGAAATGACAAGAAGGACAAGATGTTATCTTAAAATCCAAAAGACGACATTTCAATTTCCATTAAATTCCACTATAAAATTTATTATGATTGTAATCTTCCCCTTACCTGAAAATGCACCCTGGGGCAGGGTTTAATCGGAAGACTAGTTGCTATTCTCCTCACAATACTCCTTGAGGATCCATACGGCTTCGCTGATCCAAAAGCCTGCAAAATTAAAGATTTTCCGCAAACTTAAATCACAAATGAGAAAAAACAAATACCAAATTCTGTCAGTTACAGTTACTTTATTATTTAACAAAATATTTCTTGAATCTATGGCTGCCACTTTCCACATCTTGTAACTGAGAGAATTTAACAAAGGACCCTCAAATGACAATACATTAGCTGTTTAAAGTCTGTGTAGCATTAATGTAGAGAAGAAGTAGGTTTAGCAGACACATATCAATACGTATTGTCACGTACCAGGTCCATTTCGATGCTTGCATGCTCTTTACTCATTTCTGTTGATGTGTTTCACAAGGGCAGATGAGCACATGGCCCAACGTCATCATCGCCAAATGCTGATCTAGAAAAAAGACTAAACAACAAAGAAATTCAGGTTGAATCACCTTCAAACACAAAACATAAAACCAACAGTGACACTTGAGTAGCTTTATGTTTCTATAATATACCCATGCTAATCTGCTCCAGAACAATACACTGGAATGTTGTATAAACCTTTGGAGGTGTCACCTGATATTCATTTTGACAACCAACATAGTTCCCTCTCTCTACCATTATCCTTGCTGCCAATAATTGTGAATTTCTCGTATCCATGTTTCTAACGACGTCAATGTAGTAGTGAAAAGTTGTTATGATCTCTGAATTTAACAAATAGAGTGAGCAAGCTCGGTAGCAATAAGTAAGTTTACTTAAAAATGCCAAAACAAAAGTGGCACAGGCACAGAGCGCTACGGTGGCTATGAAGTATTATTAAAGTTGCAATTGCAGTTTGTGGTGTTAAATCTGTTGTGTGTTGGCTGCTGTTACATTGCAATTTCCAGCCGAGGTAAATAGAGTATTTACTGCACCGTTTATTGTATGTCACGATACGTATCCACAAACCTACCTATTATAACGCCGACAAAATCGTGGGATCGTGGGAGCAAACGTTTTCCAGCTGACGCTAGTTTTCCACAGATGTTTCACCGCTAAAGTAAAGACACAAAAAAACGTGTAAAAGTGAGTCAGTACTGATAGATATAAGCTGGTAAAATGCTTGCGAGATGCCAATGTGTACGTTAAGCTAAATTTAACAGGCGTTTTTCTTTTTTTTTTAAACTTTAAGCTAGCAGGCAGGGATGCTAGCTGACGCTAACAACGATAGCGGGCGAGCTAACTGCATCCAACTTTACCACGGAGAAGTTTATTAGGATTTGTCTTCGATACACAGTTTTAGTAACAAATAACGTATAGCAGGCTACTAACGCTACATGGATTAACGATATATTCATATTCGTAGTTCAGTTGTGCGTGACTTTGTAAAGGACTTACCGGACTGCCGCCAGCGGACAACTTTCCCAATTTTTCCACCTTGTCAAACCGACGGACATGTACAGCAGGAGTTGATTACGGTCGGGACAGCCAATTGGGTTATAGGAATTACAAAGACATTTGTGACAATGGAACATCACAATTGGTTAGTGGAAATGATTGACAGATGAAGTCACCAACTATCTTTGCCCTTTGAAACAGAGCTCTGTGATGATTTGTTATTGTGGCAGTCAATCAAATTACAACGTCCAATCATATGCCAGAAAATCGATGGACGCTCGTTATGGTTCCCTACATTTCCCGACGGGGAATGTCACCTTTAAACTGCCGGGATACTTGTGGATAACTGGGATGTCCCGGTTCACAAAACAGCTGCACCTACCAGTGTGCCACAAAACCCAAACACTGTGCACAGCTGCTAGCTACAGAAGCACAGTGAAGAAAGAGGCGAAGGCCTACCGTTCATGAAATTGTTTGGTTACACTAGTTTTTAAGGTAGTGTCGGAGAATAGTCGTTTGTCCTTGCGCCGTTTTTGTATCTTCTGGTACTGAAGTCAGCTGGGGTTGTCTCGTAATTTTCATGAAAACTGACAAAAAGGTATGCTGTAATTGTCAAGTAGCGCTTGCTAACCTAGCTTAGCTGCTGAATCGTCTGTGTTGCACAGGGCGTGATTTGAGGTGAGGTTGGGGGTCGTAGAAAGTGTCTTTGACACAACGGAACATTTATATTTTCGCTTACGAACATTATATTTCTGCGTTTGCTGTACAGTATGGGTTTAAACTACACTGTTTTAAAATTTGCCCACCATGGTGTGTTTAGCCATATGTTCTTTTATGTGATAGCCGCAGTCTCACCAATGTATATCATTTAAGTCAGGTACTTCACAACAGTCAATATTTAGTCAAACAACGTTGTACTGCATCTTATTGGCTATACCTGATATTAATTCACGAGTATCCAAAATTTCAGTGATCTTAGGCATTGAAATAAGTTAACATGAAATAATTAAATCTTCATAGTTAGTAGATGTCATTGTCATTTAATATTATAAGGTGTAACGTTATCATTACTCTGCGTCAAGTTAGTAACAAAGGTTTAAAACAGCAGGTTAGATTTTTTGTGTTACATACAAACGCGTCTTTATCAGTGGGACCGTTATTTGATTGACTGATTCATTAATTGATTGATTGTAATGTTAATTCATAGGTAATGATTTATTAACACTTCTGACAAACAATTCAAATCATATGTGTGAACTGATTAATAGTTGTAGCTCTGCTATTAACTGATAAGGAAACTATCATTAACTGTATCCTAACTTCCATCCTGATGTATGCCATCTTTTTGTTTTCAGTAGAGTGGAGAGGTTGGTTTGATGTGTGTGGCCTCTAGACAAGAGGCACCATGAGTGCGGAGTTGGATGCACTGACGGTGGTGAACCAGCTGCGAGATCTTGCTGCAGACCCCTTGAACCGAAGAGCCATAGTAGAAGACCAAGGCTGTCTGCCAGGTCTCATTCTCTTTTTGGACCACCCGAACCCACAGGTCGTCTACTCTGCACTCTTGGTAAGCAGCATCCACTTGTGTACATTTTCCTTATGGTTTCAGATAAGCTTCTTCGTTACACAAAGAAGACCTGGTGCATAAATGAGTACCCAGGAATGGATAATCAGTATCAGTATACAAAGAGAGATGTTGCATACCAGGCATTGGCCGATTTTCATTGTTATTTTGTTTAAACCAATTTCAGATAAATTAATATTAAAATGTTCGACTTTGACTCGGCTGCAAATGCCTTCCATTTGTCTGTAGTTGCAGCTGCGTAGTCTCAAGCAATGCCCTGCCCACAGCACTTTGTGATTAGTTACACGTCATAATCTATCAAGACTGAAGGATAAGCTGAAAAAGCTCTGTTTCATTCAAACATATGTGTGACAGAAATAGACAAAGGAATTTCAATTAAGTCCTATGTTGGAGTTTGTGTGTTTACCACCCACGCTTTTCATTTTTACTGCAGATGTATATCAGTTCAGAGTATTGATTTATTGGTCTCCTTGATTACTCATACCAATTGGAATCGGTCCTGAAAAAAACGCATCAGTCAGCTTCCATTAAATGTGTTAACTTTCAAGGTAAAATACATAAAGCGGCTTGTCGGATTAAACTTGTCTTGAATAACCAGCAGAGTTTCTCACTGGGTCTATTGTTCACTCGTTTGTTGCTAATGTCATTTGTCCCCCCCTGCTGTCCAGCAGTGTTGGAGCAGCTTTCAGTGAAGGCTTAAAGGCCATTTCTTGTGCCACGGTGTTCCACGCAGTCCCAAGCTGACATGTGGTGGCTTTAAAGTGACTGTATATTTAAAAGCACCGTACAATAGTGACATCTGCTGTCTGTTGAGGTGTAAACAAGAAACAGAGTCTTGATATAGCTCTCTCTCCCCTCTTACGCCACTGCCACCCTTTCGTACAGTACATGACTTGTACTGAGAGTACACATTTAAGTGGATTTATGTAATAGTTGCTCCTTGACAGTGACCTGTGAAGTGTAAACACAAAGTCAGTGCATGTGTATTTATATTGGTTATGTAATATTATACCAGTGCACATGCGTGCCCATTTTAAAGGGACTTTCTGTTTTGATTTTACCAAACGTCTGTCAGCTTTTAACACTGGATAGATAACAGTTGCCCTTGTCCTTGCAGGCCGTGCGCTACCTGGCAGAATGTCGAGCCAACAGGGAGAAGATGAAGGGCGAGCTGGGCATGATGCTGAGTTTGCAGAATGTCATGCAGAAGCAAGTCCCTGTTACAGCCACATCACACACACACATGCTCACAATGCACTTTCTTTACATAAAACTGTAACCTAGGATTTCTTTTGTTTTGCATGGCCAATGTTTGCCAGTCTGCAAAATTTCCAGGCAGGGTGATGTCCTTCTCTTCGCCATGTCAGGATGAATTTGATTAAAGTTGAATTACAATACAGTGGCAACAACTTAAACTGCTGTTTATGCATCATATAGATTTTAATACATCTTGTCAGCTCTAAAAATTGTTGATGAGTCCACTTACATATTTTAACTGATGTAGGCGTATATTTACTCTTGTTTTATTGTTTGCTTAGTGAGGTATTTTGCACACTCAGTATATTTTATTTTATTTTATTTTTTGCTTGTCCATTGTAAACTTTTTAAAAACATAATTTAATCTATACTTTATAAAACAATAATGACGGTAAACACATTCTGGTCACCTATGCCATGTAGTAGGGAGGTCTGGTCTGAGAAGAGTCATTCTCCAGATAGCTAGTTTTGCGTGAAGGTAAGACCCTCCACCCTGAAGCAAAGCTCTCGCTTGCCCTTAAGTAAACCAGTCACTTCAGCTAGTCAGGATTGGCATCATGAGGTTCCCTGCAGAAAAAGCAGCAACCTTCCCTTCTCATAGTCCACTCAGTCTAACTTTGGATAGAGGTCGATCATCGCTGGACAGAGTGGGAACACATGGCTGAGGGGGAGTGTCTAGCATAGCTGCATGAAACTGGTGTGAATTTCATTTTTAATCCTTCAACTCATTAAGATCTAAAGTTTTGGAAGATGTTGTCGCTTAACCAGTGCCTGAAGTGTTGACTAGATGAATAAGTCAACTGGGGAGAGTGTTTGGTTTGCTTAAAGGCTGACAGGCTTCCATACAGCTGTGGTAGAAATGTGTTGTACAGTGCTGGAGATCACCAGGATCCCCAGAGGGCTGCAATGCCAGACAACCAATGTCGTATGTGGTTACTATAGAAGGACTGATGGCTTAGTGACATATACAGCAGTGTAGCCTGCAGGGTTAACTAAGGATCTCTCATAAAATATCAATTCTGGCACCACAACTGCAACTGACCTCACATGGCATCCAAGAAAAGCTGCTGCCCTCTAAAATATTTTTGCTCTGCCATTGCTTTTCTTTTTTTTCTTTTTTTCTCCCAAAATGCAGTAAAAACCTGAAAAAAGTGCAGAATAGGCTTAATTGACTTGAGTTTGAATGTTGTATAGTCAAAAAAAGAAGTGTTGCCTTTTGGTACACAAAATGCTTTTACAAAGAATGGTGGAATAGAAAGATGCAAAGATTGACAGTGTTCATGATTTCATTGCATATAAAAGCTCCCTGTAAATATAAGGGCCTGTTCTGTCTCATAAAGGACACAGCCAGTCAGATTAGTCGATGACACTAAGGGATACAAGTTAATCAGCAGTCTTTAAATCAACCGGACACATGACATAAATGGGCAAAGAAAATTTTAATGAGTTTTGTGTGAAAGTTTGTGTTATACAAAGTTTTAACACCCAAGATTTAAGTTTTTTTTTGTTTATTAAATATTATGCTCTGCTATGGCTTGTTTTTTTGCTTTGTTTTGCAAAAAGGAAGTAAAAACCTGACAACAATGCAAAAAAAGAGTTATTTAACTTGAGTTTGAATGTTGTGTGATGGACGGAGGTGTTGTCTTTGCGTACACTGAATGGTTGTACAAAGAATTTTAGAATATAATGATGTAAAATTGTGACAGTATTCATGAATTGTTTGCATATGAATGCTCCCAGTGAATGTGGGTGCCTTTTTTCCTCTCAGAAAGACGTAGCCAGTCAAACTAGTCAGATTCAGGCCATATTCATAGGGGATTACGAAATGGGAGCTCAATGAATTAACTTTAGTATTGTGCATGGTTCGCACCTCCTCCACCCACAGAGGCTTACAGACATCGTCCTTTTGTTTGCCTTTGCTTTGATATTTCTTTGAAGCCTTCAAACAGAAACATCTTAGCGAGATACAATTGCCATTTAAGTGCACAAAATTGAATATGACCTATGCATGACATGATCCTTTCGTATGGTTAGAGATGCGCTGAGAAATACATTATGTCAACATAACAGGGGGTTTTGACTCTTTTCAGTTAAGTGGCTACTTGTGTGTACATAAACCACTTTTGGTAAATTATGCTGTAATGTCATTTTTTTTCCACAACTGTGTCCTTGTCTGCCATTTATTTTCACTTTCTCTTACCCAAAGGAGTACATCACCCGGGGAGACCAAACTGCTGGCCTCTGAGATCTATGAGATTCTGCAGTCCGCTGGTGTAGAGGAGGCTGAACAGGCCGAGGCAGCGGCTGCCTCCTGCCGGCGTAAAGCTCAGTTCTTCCTGGGTTCCACCAACAAGAGGGCCAAAACTGTAGTGCTGCACATTGATGGACTGGATGACTCTGTAAGTGCTCACAGAGTGCATTCAGGGCTCAACATGACATATTGGCGCGCATCTGTCATGCCCAGACACACACCAAACGCCTGTTGATGCGCAAAAATCTCTTTTCAGTTCAGCGTGTTCGCTGCTGTCATAATCACAGTGTTGCCAAAGTATCTTAGGGGTGTCTATCTGGCACATGATTGGAGGGCAGAGGGGTCAGGTTGTAAATGTCAGCCATTGAACAGCAGGACGTTGAGATTGAACCTGAATGCTGCTCTGCAGGAAGCTTGCACCTAGCCAGATTACATTACAGCAAACAGACGGCCTCTGGTGGGCTGTATTCCTGTCGCTGTAGTGGAACACACAACACTGTGGCAGCTGGAAACCATAGATATGTAAACTCTGTTTATCAAAAGCTTGTTGTGTGTAGCAGTGGAATATTTTATATTGCCTATGTTCACATTTAATGGAATTCAGTTGAAGTTTATTTGACATCATCCACATTTTCAGAGTCCTGCTGTGTAATATATTTTAAGATTCAATAATTTCTCAACTCATTAACAAGCTATTTGTGTCACTGTCTGTTTATAACTTCCACCTGATTTTTGTCCTTTGTCAGACTCGAAGGAGCCTGTGTGAGGAGGCCTTACTAAAGATTCGAGGAGTCATCAGTTTCACCTTCCAGATGGCTGTTAAGAGATGTGTTGTCAGGATCCGTTCTGACCTTAAAGCTGAGGTATGTGTCCGGACAAGGAGCACCAAGCTAGAGTTAAGGAATGCTGTATTTTATTTTTATTTATTTTTGATGAAGTCCAACAATAAATCAATAACAATTTTAATTTTGGTTAGTACCAGTTGCTCACTTCTTATGTGCTCATTTTCAATTTATGAAAATAAAAATATGCTTTTGACAATATTAAAAGTGGGGAAATCTGCTGCCTTTAGTCATTGCAATAGCTTTATTACTTAAAGCTGGGATGTTAAATCAGACAGTGTGGTTTGCCTAAAAGAGATGAAAATGTACTCTTAACATATCAAAAAAACAAATGCACATAATGCTTTTGGTATTGGTCTGGAACCCAAAGCACCAAAGGCAAAAACTGTCCAACACAGGACAGCTGACCCAGTATTATTGTGATGGCAACAGATTTGTCATTGTGATATTGCATTTTCAGGAAATGATTAACAGCTTTAGTTAGCATTACCATTACCATTACATTTCACAGTAAATTATTTTTCTTCTCACAGGCTTTGGGAACTGCAATTAACTCCACCAAAGTAATGACGGCTCAGCAGGTGGTAAAGACAGAGGATGGAGGAGAGGTGAGGACAGCTGAATTGTCTGACATTGTTTACCGTAAACTGCTGAACGTAGCACTAATTTTCCTCTAGAAGAAGTGAGCTGATAGGTCCGTGTGCTTGTTGTATGTTGTGTGGTTCTGTGTACAGAGAGTCTAACCCCTCTGCCTGTGGCTGAGACTTATTCACACTGACATGATTAGCTAGTCACATCTCTGCCGTAGCCTGTAGGCTAGTTGGTTTTTACCAAAGATGTGACCAGTCCCAGTTGCACCTTTTACAGCATCACCAATAAGCAGCACATATTCCGAATTCTGCCTTTGCCTCACATCTACAAGTATCGATTTTTATCAGAATTTGAAATTCCACTTCATGAAAAGTAGAGAATCCCTCTATAAAGAATTTAAATGCATGTTGCCTAAATAAATGAAAGAGACAAAGGTAAAATTAGGAGTAATACTTGATGTAGCCAGCAGGGGTCAGACCTGGCTCAGTCATGTATTTTTCACTAAAAAAAAAAAATGGTTCTGTAGCCAAACAAATGTGGTTTATGTTAATCACAGAATATATTTTTTTGTTAAATTGCATGAAATAATGGTGAAAAGGACACAATTTATTCACTTGCTGTTATTTCCTCTGTCTGTGTGCAGCTGATGGTGCCATTCCAGGAGGACTCAGCAGTGCTGGTCGAGGAGAACACAGACATCCCAGACTACCTGCCTGAGGAGGAGAGTCCGTCCCAGGAGCAGGACAAGGCTGTCACACGCGTAGGATCTATCACAGACGGCATGGGCTGGCTCAGCACAGCCGCCAACTTCCTGTCACGCTCCTTCTACTGGTGACAACTTCTTGTGTTTCTTTCTTTGCTCCCTGTTTTGTCGAAGGTACCATCTAGCTGCAGCCTTAGCATCTCTCAGCCTCGTACTGGACTACGCCCTGCCTCACGGCCCTACACTAGCCTAGACTCCCCTCTCCAAAGCACACAGAGCCCTGACACGTGTGTGCAACAAGTGCTGGACTTCCAAGTGGAACCTGCAGTAACTTGCACATATATTGAGCTACAAATTCCACTACTGGCTGTATGTGCACAACTATATACTAGCTGCATATGTATCTCAAAAGACATAGCCAGAGGACTTTTAAAACAAACAAAACCAAATAGCTTTTTGGAAATGTATCGCTGTGTTGACTGAGTTGACGTGGCAGCCGCACTTAATTGTTCTGGGGCTGATTTTGCGTATGTTGAAAATTGGGAGATCCTGTTTTTTGTGCATGATTTTGGTTGCTTTTTTCCTGGCATTTATACCCAATTATTGTCCTTTTACTAAATATACTTTTTTTTTTCATATTTTTCATCCTTTAATTTCCTAATTATGTCAATTTTTGCTTCCCTCTTCAGTTTTTTTTAGCATGCTATTACGCTTTTTGTGCCAATCTTGCCTGATGCCTACATCCTCGATTATTGTGTGTGCCTTTTTGACATTTCATTGTAATTATTATTTATTCATCATTCATTCGAATAATTTGAGAGCTCCAAGCATGTTTAATGTTTGTGCTTTTCTAGCAGCAGCTGGCCTCTGCCAGCTTTTAGCTCACTGAGGGTCGCCACTTCAGTAGAAAGAGTAAATAGACACCAGCAAGAGGCCACAGTTAATTCAGCCACTGGCTCACATGCGTTAGACTGTGTTGCGTCCTGAAAGAACAACTAATTAGCTAGTTGGCTGATTAAAAAATAACCCCTCCATGTGTTGAGTCGGTTCTATTAAAAATCAGGACTTCTCTGATAAAAATAATATTCCTGGACAAAATCAAATGTGAGCTCTGTAGTGGCTACAAACTGACTGTCAACTCCCTGTGTTAACTGCACAGAATTTAGGCTACCTCTGCTTTCAGCCTGCTATCTTACATCAGCATTATAGTCTTCTGTAGTTTTAGTAAAACCCTAGGTCAGCATGGCGAAGACATACCTGTTAACTGCCTGCTTCTCATATACTTCTCAGTGTTAACCTGGAATTCCGCTGACATTTTACAGTATTGTAGCTGCACTTGCTCAGTTTCATTTTCAGTTTAGCCAGCAGTGTCCTTAAAGCAAAGATCATGTTGGTGCACGATCACGCACACACAGAGAGGACTCACTAGAACTGTTGTATGAGCGGTCTTGTAACAACAGTGTGGTTATGTACATTTTGTAAATGGTGCCTGATTCCCTAAAATCTCAGACCTTACATGTGAAGGATTTTTTTTTTTCTGTTTTAGTAAAACAGGTTTTGCATTTTCTGACATATATTAGGATACGATGGTGTAGCTGCGAATACTAACGCTCTTGAGGATTTCCATGGTTCTTTAGTCCTTACAACCTTGTGACTCACTCAAAGGTTTAATTATTTTGACATGTGTGAGTGTCATTAACAATTATTACTGACACTGCTGACCAAGCGAGTTTTATTCTTTTGATGGTGCAGAGACGTCACACTTGGTTGAAGTCAAACAGAGGAAGGAATAACCTGAACTGATGGTAGCTACCCTCTGGAGAAGCAATAATCATTTTTGCATTTAATGTAAAGATAACAGGTCAACAACAGCCTATTAACTCATGTTTGTTAAACAAAACAGATTAGTTGAAAATAGGAATTCTGCATATTCAGTATTTTATTTTATTTTTTAAATATTTGTCCATTTTGCACAGAGTTAACGTCCATGTTGCATCATGTTGTTTGATTTTACCATTTGGTGTCTCTGCTCACACTGCAAAGAAATACTTGAACATTGTTCAAAATTGTCATTATGTGTTGATCCAAGTGTAAATTCCCTATTTAAAGATAAATTGACCACATCTGTAAGGCTGACAAAGAACCGCAAACTAAGTCCTCAAAAAATGTAACTTCATGTGTACAGACTTCAACTGTTAGCTGATGTAATATAATGTATGCAGATCTTAAAACTGTAGATTCCCATACACTGTTAATGCAAATAATGATAAACTTAAAAATCAACATTGGTCTTGTGCCTTTTATTTTAAGTCTTTTTTCTTTTTCTTTTTTTGGCGTCAGGTTGTAGCGATAAGCGTTGACCTATAATTTCACAGTGTTGTACTCTGTCTCATTACTCTCCGATTGTTTCATCTTCATGCCATGTGCAGAGCTCACACCAGTGCTCCAGACCGCACTTTGTCAAATCAGATTGCTGAGGGCAGCAAACATTCCTTGCTGAGGGAGAGAGAGAGGGAGAGAGAGAGAGAGGCGAAATTCAGTTTTCTTTACTGGTGCATAAGTGAGCTGCCCCAGGGCGATCCTGTGGCCGGCCCACCACTTCCCCCAGTCGCGGTGCTGGTAGGCACGCAGAGGCAGCAGCCAACCCCAGCTGGAGGCCCTGGAGCCACTGCTGCTGATGCTGCTGCTGCTGCTGCTGAACATCCAATGAAACGCTGTGCCAAGCTGGTGAGAAGGCCTTCACTTATCTGCTGTATCATCCAGATGGACGATGACTAGAAATGATGTTTAATGTTGCTAGAAGACATTTGAATTTCCCGAGGCCGTTATTATGTTAAACCTTTGTTTGTACTGAGAAATTTCTTGTGGTTGCAAGACGCAGTGAGAAAGTCCAGTATTATCTCAGCTTGTAAACCATTTAGCCAGTTTGGTTAAACACTAGTAAGCTCACTTGTTGGTGTGCAGACTAACAAGAAACAGACAGTTGTAATTTCATATTATTTTAGTGAGATAACGTTTTTTTTCTTCTTTTTTTTAAGTCTGTTCTTGAGCTTTTGATCCACCTGCTGAATATCACATTACATTTTATCAGCAGATACATTTTCCTCAGTAGTAACTTTATTTCCTCTTTGGTGTTTGGTATCAACACATAAACACTGATGACAACAGGTAACAGTCAAGCACACAAACCATGAAACATACATACAGTATTAATGCAGCAGAAAATAATAGAAGGCTAAAAAAATAATTATAAGCTAAGACGAGACACACTCTTACCTTCTGTGTTGCAAAAACTGAAACATACATTAAAGACCATCGCCAAGCAGACTTCCTGGTAAGAAAACATACATTACATGGAAAGTTTCCATCTTTTACTGACTAAAGGAAAACAAGAGAAATAAAATGCTGTTTGTTTCTTTTGAGCAGCTGCCTGAAGGAAGGAGGTGAAACTCCTCATGAAGAAGATAACCTAAAATAAATGTCTTAAAGCTTGCTGAACTCCACCTCACTGGACACCCTGACCTGCACTACTGTAGGTAAGAATACATTCATAAAAACATTGCAAGAGCTTTAGAAATGTAGATGAACTTCACTTATTTTTTCTGAGCACTTTGCAAGTTGAATTTCAGTTCAGTATCTGGTGTATTTAAAGGCTGCTGTGCAGCATGTACATTTAAATTTACTGCCTCTGAATGATTCTCTTGTGCCTTTTCCTGCCACAGACGGATCAATAGCGATCCGCTGTGATCAAATACATGCTGTAGGGGTGTCCAGTTTTCATTATACAAGGCCTGTGAGTCCTCGAGCTCATATTTCTCACACATCACCACTAGAGAGAGACAGCAAGCCTGACAAATGAGTGTGTAGTCCAGAGTATAATCTCATAACATCTGATGAAAACACTTGTTTGTAATTGCATGACCTGAGATGATTATTAAGACTCTGTGCTGCGAGTGCATTTCCATGTGGTAGCTTTTTGACCCTGAGCCTTAAGACTGATCATTTAACCATTAACATGCATCGTTCACCTCAGCTTAATATCAGTGGACCTAACGGGACTAATGCAGCCATAAGGTTGTTTTTAGCAGTTAATAGTGGGCACCTTTCTCCTCAACGCATGAGCACTAATGTTAAGCAATTCTCAGTTTCAAATGGCTTTCTTCAAGGGTTCATATGCTGCCTTATAATGATATTACTCCTCTCAGAAGTTTTTTGTGTGTGTGTGAGCACATAAGGGGATATCCTCCAGAGAACACAGGCTGCACTCACCTCTCATTTTCATATTAAAGCTTCAGATAATTTCACTCTCCTTCAGTTCTTTGGATAAGCCACGTTTGCAAGTTCCCCCCACTTCCTCCCTCCCATCTAACCCATCAGATAAAACTCAATCAGACTGTGTTGTGCGCAGTCCTCCCCTCCATATCAGCCCAGTTGCATATATGTGCATAACTGTGTTGTCGGTATCACCCTCCCACCTGTGCGTATTTGCATGGTTAATCTGCGCAGGGTGCTGGAGGAGGAGGAGGAGGAGGAGGAGGAGGAGGGTGCGATGGAGGGTAGATAGGTGCGTCTCACGGCCCCCGCCGGGCTCTTGAGGAATTTTATTGGAGGTTCAGCTCCCAGTCAATGGGATCAGCCGTAAATCCCGCTCAGAGTGTGGCAGGAAATGATGTGACTCCGGCAATTTATGTCAAATAACTTTTGAGGATGTGTGAGTGTAGCGATCAGCGCTACCGGGGCAGCGATAACTCTTCGGCAGGGGGCCCCGGTGAAGATTTAATTGAGACATTTTTCTTTATCTGGAGCGAAGCGCCGGAGCCGTGTTGTTGTGTAACGAGATGTAATGTCTCTCTTTATACGGGGGTCAACATCCAGGATGAGAGAAGGTCATGGACTGACTGTTTGAGCATCCAATTTGCGCGCGTAATACCCGCTCTACAGGGAGCTGGGCAAAGACACACAGTATTAAGTTACACAGTCCACATATCACTGACAGAGCTGAGACCCTGCGCTGTGAGGATGTCATGCATCTCTGGGACTGTGTACACTGTAAAAAAAGAAATCTGTCAAGAAACGGGAATAGTCCAGCAGCTGGGGTGTCATAAAATACTGTACAAATAATGGAAACTAATCATATCATAAGAGCACAATAATGTTGCTTACTTCAAACACATTGTCTGGCCTTAATTTGTATTTTTAGTGTTTAATGAAAAGTATTTACATGTGCAAAAATAAAATAACCTATTATGATTTGATATGATGGAAGGATGGATGGATGGATGGATAGATTGAAAACTTTATTTTGTACTGATTAGTAGTCGTTATAGATGGCATACAGTCACGAACAAACAAATTCATTCAACATTTTTGTTGCAGAAACGTCTGTAAACATTCAAATCTTTGTAAAATTACAGAACCAATGATTATTTTTTCTTTTAATTGTCACAAATTATACCTGACCTTAATAAAAAAAATATTAACTTACATTTCACGGTTTATCCTTGAGGTGAAAAGAAGATATTTGTGAAATTACAGTAAATTTGTGAATAAATCTTAACAGCTTTTCATGTAAAAAGCAAAAACAACAACAATAAATATTTTTTTGGTAAAAAACTGGAATTTTTATAGTTATACACAGTTATGAGTGTCTATTAGTATTTTACATAAGACATGTAAATTCACAGTCCATTTTTGTAATTTTATATTTTTTCCCCAAAAAATACATAGAAAAATCAGTAAAATGTAAGTTTTGTTTTGTTTTATTTTGTAGCGTATGTAGCCTTTGTGAGTGTATCTAAAAAAAAAATCAATTTTTCTTCCTTTTTTAAAAATTTTCTGTTTTTATTTTACAGTGTATTTAGTCTTCATGAGTGTGTGAGGCAGCAAAAATAAAGGTAATGTGGTTAAAGAGAGCTCTTCTGGTACGTCTTTATAATAAGGCTCCTTTATTGATGTGTTAAATCCCAGCTATTGCCTTAATTAATTGCCCTTATTAATAAATCTTTTACTAGCTCTTTATAAATCTCCATTAATAAGAACACATAATATGCAATTATGTTAGCTAACCATTAATAAATGCCCACTGTCTTCTCCCTTTCCGCCAAGCCATTACATTTGCAGTCATACATGTTAGTTACAACCTGGCAGTCCCTTCTTATAGTGATGTATGACGCATTAGTAAAAGCTGTATCAATAAAGCTGCAAGGTGCAGATTTATAAAGATGCCTTTTTGGAGAATGCCACGAATGCTGATCCTCTCAAATCACAAATATGAATCAATTCCCAACACAGGTTAGACTAAAGCAATAATATACTCAAAGTACTCAAGGTAAACTAATGAAATATGGTATACTCATAATACAGAATGACTCCTGTTTATACAATGCTGGATAACTATTACTAATGTTGGTGAGCTTTAACGATTGTTGGGATATAAATGAGAAATCATATTTTGCAGAACACATCCTCCTAAACTGATGATATGTTTTACATGCGGTAACAGGAGGAACTATTAGGATACTGTGTGATGCACAAAGGCAGCCTTCAATGCTGAATTACAAGCAAATGTCCTGCATCCATTTGTCTTTTCCTCAACTTAAACTATAGAAGAATGATATGCACAATAAGCGAAACTATCATAAAACAGAATTGGCACTTGAACTGACATTATAGATGATAATAGTTGATTATAATGCATTGATTCTTTTACATTATTATGTAACAGTTAAGTAAAGCAGCTTTGCATAGTCTGATGTAAACTAATTCTATAATAATGTGGCGTATTTTATAAAAACTATGTGTTGCATGTAAAATCCAGATTCCAAAGTAATTACAGCAGTGATTTAAAAAATGGATCTTACATGTAGTGATGAATCCTATAAAAAAGCATCAAATGAACATATTCAAGTGAAGTGTAGAACTACATTAAATGTTATTGCTTTCAACCACTGCCAGTTACTGCTAAATAATAGTATAAGTAGTTCAAAAAGAGTATTTCTCCACTAGTTTAAAACGATATCAACTGACTCTTTAATCTGAATTATCCTCCAGTGAAACCACCTTTTTTCATTATTATTATTAAAGTCAGGCCTATTTTGTCTAATCTGATCTATATTTCTTGCATTGTGTGTCCCTGTGTGTGCCTCCCCATCCTGCAGCAGCTTGCATTGGAGGCCCTGATGAGATGCGTGCACACACAGGCAGCTCATAATTGTGGCCATAGCTCATTATTGTCCTCCGGATGATTTGGATCCGCCGGGGGGAGTCTCGTCCTCTGACACCGC